ACCTGACTGGACACTTAATTAGGTATACAGGTAAACGAGATCTTGCGGAAGGATTGTTATTGTTGGAATTTGCAGTGCTGTAGCAGTGCAACGCATCATATTGAGAGCTGTTTCCAATATTGTGACTTGTATTGGATCTCATAACTTGGTAGTGTGAGGAATCGGGTTGTACCTGGTGATCCACTGGAGTCGTTCAGGCCTGACGAGGCCTAATTAGGAGCTCCATCGGCAAAGATACAATCCAAGGAGACCTTTGCTGATCAAATTTCAAGACAAAAGCAAGATTTTTAGCTGACAAAGTTTCATAATGAGCCACGTGCTAAACGTAAGAATAACGTAAAGATTATCACTTGCAGGTACAAAATAGATAAACAAAATTGATCAATAGATGGAAGATAAACGAATTGTTCATTTCAGACGGGGTTGTTTTTCCTTTTACACCAAACAATATTAAGCATGGGGAAATAGCATTTCAGTATCAACATTAAACATGAAAACTGTCTTATCTAGTTCAAATGTCAATGGTATACAATACAAACAAATCAGGACTTGAATCCATACAGTCTAACCGAAATTTTTACTTGGTAAGGATCGCCCAAACAGTATTTTATCCTTCATACGACTTAAATGTATAAATTACATACAAAATAAAAGTACTGTACCTTTAATCCGAAGAATATTATCAGGGGTCCATAAGGCGAAAACTTTTTTTTTTCCCGCATAGCGAAACTTCGCAGATCACGTGTGAATTTGGCGCCCAGTAGTGACGTCACAGCAAGTAGCAGACTGGCAAGGGCGCACGGAAGTTTGCGTTTCCATCCATCCAACCATTACCTGAAACTGCTTATCCTGCCGAGTGTCGCGGGCGTGCTGGAGCCTCTCCCAAGCTGTCTTCGGGTAGTAGGCGAGGTACAGTCTGAACTGGTTGCCAACCAATTGCAGGGCACACACTGACAAACATTCACACTCACCGTCAGTTGGGGACAATTTAGAGTTTTCCTTTAGCCTGCTATGCATGGTTTGGGAATGTGGAAGGAACCCGGATAAATAACAGGGAGAAATGCAAACTGCACACAGGAAGGCCAGAACAGGGAATCGAACCCTGTGAGGCGAAATAATGTAATGCCCCAAGTCATATTTTGACGGATAATTATTTTTACCATAATCATCTCCTCATGATGGTCACCTCTGCTAAAATAGGCTATATCCTTAGTTAAACAGATTATTAAATTCGATAGCTGACATTATTCAATGTACTGCATGCGGTCTTTGGTTCAGTTTGTTTTCTGAAAAGAAAAAAAGACTGAAGGCTGCGCTTAATTTAGTAAGGTCACGATATGATGGTACAGTCCCAACCTGAAGCCATCACAACCCAAAGGTAAGCCTGCACAATTCAGTGGGATTAATTCCACAAACTGTATTTAATTAAAAAATGAATCATTTCATGACTTTGTGCAGTTTTGCCTAATTATCTAAATTTTTACTATTGTTGTAGTTTGCGGTGTACAACTGTGTCATCCTGACAGCTATTTTTAACATTTTTCATCATTGAGGCACACGTTACAATGTAAAAAAAAAAAAAAAAGTATGGTTATTTATTAGTGAGTCCATGAGCCAATAAGGGGAACAACTGCAACAAAGAAAGGCAAATCCTTTTTTTAATTTCTCCCAAAACCTTTTTTTTTTGCCCTATTTACACTATACAAGTTCAACAACTGATCATTTCCCTCAGCATGTCGACACACAGCAAATCAAATAAACATGCAACAAAATAATAATAAAAACAAGCTTATACAACAAGTCAAATGACTCAACAAGTCATAAAAATTAAATAACAAGACATAAAAGGGTGTGAAATGGCATGGCAGAGGTTCACACTGGTCCATAATGTCATTGTGTGTCAGCACATATGTATGGAGCACCAGAAGGCATCCAGTGGAATGATTGTAAACAGGAGGAGAACATATGTCTCGAGTTGTCTTTTTCCAGCTCATGGACAGACTGGAGATGACGCTTCTGTTTGAGGAATGTCTTGAAACAATTCAAACATGCACGGGATCGTAAAAGAGAACACACCGTCCCTGGCAAGCATGTTTTGAAGCAGTTTCACAGGTTGGTCTCATCCCACGTGGGGTCGTTCATGCTCTTCAACACCCTCCTGACGACCTTCTCCAGATCTTTGCGGGCCCTCTGCTCCTCCTCAAGTGACCTTTTCATCTTCTTGTTATCCTACAGAGGGACAACAGGAAGTGCATCCTTAATAGCCATAAATGGGATTAATATTTTTTCTTTGCAGAGGCGTGTTGAACTAAACAACGGGGAACAAACAGTAACACCATGAAATATGAGAAACCCATCTCGTATGTTTATCCAGATGTAAGTGATTATTTAACTGATTTTTAGACTTTGACTCATGGGTCAAAGTTTTGAAATCAATGAATAACTGTTTTATTTCCATAATGGTTCAGTCCGAGCAGCTCGTACTTCATGGCCTGTGTGCAGTGTCGCTGTTACATTTTAATATTAAGAGCTGGCAAATTATTTCTTTAGTGTACGTTTGACAATGTTGAAATTTTTCTTTGAACAGTGTCTTGTACCATTAGTAAAAGATCGATTTGTTCAGCATTTACCTGTTTTAGCTCTTGTACCTCGTCCCTCAGGGCATACACCACATCCACAAGGCTCCTTGAAAGGGGGAGAGAAGAAAAAAAAACAAAATGAGCATAACTACAGGTAATGGGTTTCATCAAATATCGAGATTGTTTTCCTTACGCTTCACTTTTCTTTAAAATTCATATTTATCATTTCTAGCATCGATTATGTATTTAGCATAATCAGGGGTCCATAAGGCGAAAACTTTTTTTTTTCCCGCATAGCGAAACTTCGCAGATCACGTGTGAATTTGGCGCCCAGTAGTGACGTCACAGCAAGTAGCAGACTGGCAAGGGCGCACGGAAGTTTGCGTTTCCATCCATCCAACCATTACCTGAAACTGCTTATCCTGCCGAGTGTCGCGGGCGTGCTGGAGCCTCTCCCAAGCTGTCTTCGGGTAGTAGGCGAGGTACAGTCTGAACTGGTTGCCAACCAATTGCAGGGCACACACTGACAAACATTCACACTCACCGTCAGTTGGGGACAATTTAGAGTTTTCCTTTAGCCTGCTATGCATGGTTTGGGAATGTGGAAGGAACCCGGATAAATAACAGGGAGAAATGCAAACTGCACACAGCAAGGCCAGAACAGGGAATCGAACCCTGTGAGGCGAAATAATGTAATGCCCCAAGTCATATTTTGACGGATAATTATTTTTACCATAATCATCTCCTCATGATGGTCACCTCTGCTAAAATAGGCTATATCCTTAGTTAAACAGATTATTAAATTCGATAGCTGACATTATTCAATGTACTGCATGCGGTCTTTGGTTCAGTTTGTTTTCTGAAAAGAAAAAAAGACTGAAGGCTGCGCTTAATTTAGTAAGGTCACGATATGATGGTACAGTCCCAACCTGAAGCCATCACAACCCAAAGGTAAGCCTGCACAATTCAGTGGGATTAATTCCACAAACTGTATTTAATTAAAAAATGAATCATTTCATGACTTTGTGCAGTTTTGCCTAATTATCTAAATTTTTACTATTGTTGTAGTTTGCGGTGTACAACTGTGTCATCCTGACAGCTATTTTTAACATTTTTCATCATTGAGGCACACGTTACAATGTAAAAAAAAAAAAAAAAGTATGGTTATTTATTAGTGAGTCCATGAGCCAATAAGGGGAACAACTGCAACAAAGAAAGGCAAATCCTTTTTTTAATTTCTCCCAAAACCTTTTTTTTTTGCCCTATTTACACTATACAAGTTCAACAACTGATCATTTCCCTCAGCGTGTCGACACACAGCAAATCAAATAAACATGCAACAAAATAATAATAAAAACAAGCTTATACAACAAGTCAAATGACTCAACAAGTCATAAAAATTAAATAACAAGACATAAAAGGGTGTGAAATGGCATGGCAGAGGTTCACACTGGTCCATAATGTCATTGTGTGTCAGCACATATGTATGGAGCACCAGAAGGCATCCAGTGGAATGATTGTAAACAGGAGGAGAACATATGTCTCGAGTTGTCTTTTTCCAGCTCATGGACAGACTGGAGATGACGCTTCTGTTTGAGGAATGTCTTGAAACAATTCAAACATGCACGGGATCGTAAAAGAGAACACACCGTCCCTGGCAAGCATGTTTTGAAGCAGTTTCACAGGTTGGTCTCATCCCACGTAGAGTCGTTCATGCTCTTCAACACCCTCCTGACGACCTTCTCCAGATCTTTGCGGGCCCTCTGCTCCTCCTCAAGTGACCTTTTCATCTTCTTGTTATCCTACAGAGGGACAACAGGAAGTGCATCCTTAATAGCCATAAATGGGATTAATATTTTTTCTTTGCAGAGGCGTGTTGAACTAAACAACGGGGAACAAACAGTAACACCATGAAATATGAGAAACCCATCTCGTATGTTTATCCAGATGTAAGTGATTATTTAACTGATTTTTAGACTTTGACTCATGGGTCAAAGTTTTGAAATCAATGAATAACTGTTTTATTTCCATAATGGTTCAGTCCGAGCAGCTCGTACTTCATGGCCTGTGTGCAGTGTCGCTGTTACATTTTAATATTAAGAGCTGGCAAATTATTTCTTTAGTGTACGTTTGACAATGTTGAAATTTTTCTTTGAACAGTGTCTTGTACCATTAGTAAAAGATCGATTTGTTCAGCATTTACCTGTTTTAGCTCTTGTACCTCGTCCCTCAGGGCATACACCACATCCACAAGGCTCCTTGAAAGGGGGAGAAAAGAAAAAAAAACAAAATGAGCATCACTACAGGTAATGGGTTTCATCAAATATCGAGATTGTTTTCCTCACGCTTCACTTTTCTTTAAAATTCATATTTGTCATTTCTGGCATCAATTATATGTTTAGCATATTTTTCGAACTATGATTTACACTTTCCATCTACCCATTTTTTTATCCTCAATTGGGTGGCGGTTGAGCTGGCGTCACTCCCAGCTGATTTGGGGCGAGAGGCAGGTCACACCATGAACAGGTCACCAACCACTCGCAGGGCAGATACTGTTGTGTCTTGTATTAGGAGTATGCAGGGCTATCTAACGTGGCCAGTATATTAGGCCTGTACACTGTCCTGCCTGGAGCGAAGAAAAAAAGTTAAAAAAAAATAAATCAATACTTCTCTTCCATTGCGCTTTGTCCGTTGCGACTGGAGTCATCGAGCAGGACTTTCTCCTCGCCGGGAATAATCACATGGAGCCCCGTTTCCCTTCGTGGTCCTGTTTCAAGACAAAAAAAACAAAACAAAAGGGCTCGTAGACTTAAAATGTTGCTTTGTTTCACCGTCTCCAACAGTTGAGTCTCTTTTATTTGAACAAATGACAACACAGTTTTGAGAGCAGAAGTGTTAGTCGTGCAAAGACCAGACATAAACATGGAAGGGGGAAGAAAAAAAGTGAAAACTGAGAGATAGTGCTCCTTTGTAAATCAAAGTACAAAAACAAAATCACCAGGAAGCACGTCTACCAAAAGACAGATTTATTCCAAACTCATAATACAGCCATTTTTAGACTTGACTTAATTTTCGAAGAGACACTCTGAAGGCGTCGTTAGTGAGTTATTGAGACACGGTGCACATCAAAGACAATGATGCTTCACGACAGAATTCACCCTGTATATCCCAAATGCTGACTCCACAGGATACAACTGTCACAAAGTATAGCACGATACAGGACAGTGATATTCCTACAGCTCACTAAATGTATTTTTTTTCTCCCCCCCCCCCGTGGTAATTAACAACTATTATTTACAGAAAAGGGACGATGTGCTCTTTACACTCTTCAGCCCACTGGAACAGTATTCTGAGATTGAAAGTTCATACAAACACTTCAAAATTGCCTGCCTTGGACTTAATAGTGAGATTAAGAGAGGTCATACATAAACCTCTAGCACACAGAGTGTTTCTGAGTTTCGAGGGTGTTCATAAATCCTTTTCAAGCCTCACTCAGAGCACATTTCTCAAGATTGAAGGACTACATACATAGACTTCAAACCGTATTCTGAGACTGAAGGAGTTCATACATAGAAATGGTTCTGTTAAAATCCTTTTGTGGCCCTTCAATGCTTACACAATGCCAAAGGAAGAGCATTTACACCACATTACTTTACAGGAACACTGAATATTTAATAGTCTCCCTTTAAGAACTGTATCATACACACTTTAGGTAGATGACAAAAAAGTAGAGCATTTGACACATTCTCGATCCACCCACTGTCCTGTTACATGATTGTGCAAAAATAATTTAAAACACTTCACCTTTTATCCAAATCCCCCCCCCCAAAAAAAAACAAATAAGCATCATTCTTGCATGGTTGTTTTTGTAAACACTGACATTCAAATGAAATTAAAAACAAGATTAAAAAATAAATACAAACAAAATAGAGTGTAACATGGACCATTATATACTGCTCTAAATAGATGCCAACTGCAGACTTTTTAGTACCAACACTGGAAAAATACTTCTTCATGAAAATAGTGACAAGCCAGACAACACTGAGGCAAGCCTGGACTCTTTTCCGAGGCTAAACAACAGGTAGCAGGTTAGCTCGCCTAGAGCGTGTGTTTGGACTTGAATTAAATCTGGTCAAACTTTTGACAGCCTGCCGGGTAAGATGTGACACATTCGGGGAAATTGGTTGAGTCTCTCCCACAATTTTAAAACCGGTATTTGCAATTTCCACTTTTCACAGAGCTGGAGGTAGATATGAGTTAGCTTAGCATATCTTAGCCTTGTGTAAAAACTAGAGGAGGAGAGTTTAACAGCAAATTTAGCTTTAGTTTGAAATATGAATTCGTTTCTCAGTTTGAACCAAAGGCATTACCCTTGGATTTTAGGAGAGTTAGAATCAAGTCTACTTATATGCAAAGCGATCTGGAAAACAAACTTAAGAGGCCGTATTAATTTATAAAGCGCTATGTAAGTGCACTCCATTGACGTTAGAGTCTTGATTTTATTCGCAGAACTTTTGACAAGGAATGTTTCTGTTACCTTTAGCGTTACTTCATACCAACTTTGTTGCTCAATTAAGTGGGGTCCACACACCTGATTATTGGGTCGAATTGTTGCATTTTTCTCCTCTTACTATCAAAGTCAACAAAGGGCCAATTATCGGGTCTCAAAACGATTATCCTGAGTGGTTATCCTGTGGTGTAGGGTGTCAAAGGGTGATTTTTTTTTTACCTCTCTGAAAGACTTTGAAAACAACTAATAATCTTAACGTTCGATATTTACAATGGCACATATTTGTGTGCGGTCAGCACAGAGGTCAGCTGAGCGACGGGCTCCATGACTGTGAGGTGAAACAAAATATTAGCCTAACAGGAAGGGACCTGAAACTTGCACTGTAAACCAGTTGTGTTGAGTGTTTTTATACAAAGTGCCTCTCAGGTCATTCACCACAAGGAAAGTTTGCTACAGCAACGTAGGTACCAGATAATCTAACAGTTGGTCTACGTTCTCGTTATTTTTTTGACTACTCCTTTGGTTGCGCTATAGCATCCTCTCACAAATCAGTCTTGGTAGTATGACAAACTTCTGGTTTGGGGGAGGAGACTTTGCGATTGTCGGAGGAGATATTGTTATGTGTGCTGCGTTGGTCGTTTCGTCACCACACACAATAAAAACCGCTATAACGCACTTGATGATTTTATTCCTCATGTGTGGGGTTTGTCAAATTTTAAAAATGGGTTACAAATCTGTAAATCCGAATGCATGCACGCCGTTTCAGGTAAACGCCCCAGCTGCCGGCTCCAGAGTTATGTAAACAGTCGAGTGAACGGGGATATGAAAAAGGGTACTCTATGTCCATCTCCCAAAATGTCTCTTAATAAATAAATAAAATTGTATGCCGCCATGCTCTATCACGAAAAGGCATTCAGTTTCTAACAGTGGCTGTAGTTGGCTCTAATTTTATGTTCTCGCTCTATTAAAGCCATTGTAACCACAGATTCGAATTACGGGAAAGAAAAATGTGAAGGCTAAGTAAGAGTTTGGGTCAACTGACATGCTGCTGTAATAAATGGCAAGAGGGACGGAAATCATGGCTGAAGTTGTCCGTTTACGTGTGCCATCTGTGCTATACGTTTGCGCACATGCGCTCTAAAACCACCAACTGGAATAGAAGCCGCGCGCCATCAAAGAGAATACACTCGTTCCTGAACTACATCTGAATATCAGACAGGAAAGGCTGTCACCACCTCTCCCTCTCTCCCCCCATTTTTTTTTTAATTCCTACTGACATCTCTCAAATTTACTCTTACGGGCCAAAAAGAGAGTTCCCCACGTTTGTGCTCAAACGAGAGGGTCACATTCAAGATAAATGAACAGGAATGAGCAAACGCTTACTGCATGAAAGCTACAGAAAGAGAGGAGGCACATTGAAGGGGGAAAGTGGCAAAGGCAACAGGGAGCTGCGTTAAACATCCTACAACTGTCCCAAAATAAATAAAGCAAATAAATTAACAAAAACAACTGAATAAATATATATATATATTTAAAAAAAACTAATACAGACGATAAAAGAGGTAAGCGTGCTAGGTGGCACAGCAAGGAGAATTCTTTAGTTTTGGTGCGAGATGCAGCTCTTGCGTGGCACCGAGCCCATTCGGTATGAGTGGCTGGTCCAAATGGAGTCGTAGTCCGAGTCCTCCGAAAGGTCGGAGCTCAACTCCGGCCGAGACACGCTGCTGCGGCGGCCCGGCGAGTCCACAGAGGGCCGATCCGCGTCGGCCAACACGTGGTTGTGCATCAAGTCGGTGCCCTGCCAGGCTGGGATGGGGAGTAGGGGGGGTTGCGGGAATGTGGCGGGAGGGGTAGTGGTGGGTGGAGGGTTTGCGCAGGTTTTCATGCACAACAAATGGCAAAATTGTGGTGAGGGGGAAAAAATGCGGGATTGGACAATGGAGCCAAGGCAAACGAAGAGAATGGAGAGAACAAGAATGGAAAAAGGTCAACCGGAGCGATGATGAGAGGAGGGAGATAGAAGAAGGAAAATATACTGTTAGAAGGCACAGTTGAGGACATAAGGGTTAATAAAGGTCAGCGAGACAACAAGAAACGGAAACGCTGCTCATTTCATGGCCATGTCAATTATTTTTTCAAATTTTTCAATGCAGGTAGGATGGTGGTCTCCCACTTCTGAGGTTCAGGGCTTGAAACTCAGCTCTGGTTTTGTCTGGGGTTACTCCCACATTCCAAAAATATGCATGAAACGTCAACTGATGACTCTTCTCCATAGGTGTGAACGTGAGTATGATTGGTTGTTTGTCGATATGTACCCTGCGACCGGCTGGCGAGAATTCCAGCGTGTATTCCATATCTTAAAAGTATCAGCTTCGAAGGGCTCCAGCTCATTCACCCTTTGACGACAAGTGATATAGAAAACGGATTGTTCTATTACATTTGGCTTTTTTTCTCCACACAAAACGCACTTTGGATAAAATACTAAAACACCTCGTTGGATATATGACCAGCTTTATACTCGTCGCTCTGTACCGCAGGACTGCATTGAACACTTCAGTCGGAATGGGACATAACGAGCAAGAATAGAAGAAAAAGAGGGTCTCCTATGTTTACTTGTGAGCATGTGGCTGCACGGTTAAGAGGTTCATTCAAGAGGAGATTGAAGGCAGCAAGAAGAGCGAAGTGGAGACAATGGGCTTCCAGAGCGTTGGCATGTGCTTACGTTTCCATTTCACGCCATGTATCCTCAAGAGTTGCAATGGTGCAACCCCGATAAATTTGTGGTTCTGAATTTGCAAATTAGTGTACTTTCAGATTTTGGGGGGAACCGACATTATTTGAAAATACAGGTTACTCATATTTGTGCTAAGAGCAAAGCAATTAAAGCATTACGTCGGCATTAGCGGCGCCTTTGTAGAATCTTTGTGGTGGTGTTTCGTTTAATTCAGCATTTTTTTTCCCCCTGACTGTTTCGAGCCCGGTCTTTGAATGTAATTCAGGGACAGTCAAAACCGAAACTGAAGGATGTTTCTGCTTCTCTTCCAAGGCAGCTACTAATAGTATGTGTAGTTTACCTCACAGTTAAATTTGGTATTCCCTAACCTTTATTACGTGTAAATGCCATAAGGTGAATTGAATGGCGAAATCTCGTCTTTGTAAAGTTCTAGAGCGCATATGTTTCCCCATGTGCAACATCACGTCAGTTTGTGCTAGCGTGTTATTAAGGCTAGGCTAATTGGGCCCCGAAGGTGGTCACGTGGGTTCATTCACATTTGCGTGAAGCATGGTGTTGATACTTTATGATCAGCTCCGATTTTAGCGCTTTGCGAGGGTTCACAATGATAGGCGAGTAGAGTACATTGAACTACAAGTCGTATTTTTCCTATGAAACACAAAATAACCAGCAGCACCAAGTAGGTACTGTGTAATGGAAAAGGGATTTTCACAGGCAGTATGGTTCTGTTCTGTTTGGTACGGTAGACATTTCTCTGCATTTCCATTAGAAAAGATACCAACCGCACCTTCCCCCTTTCCAGCACGGTTGTTTTGCTGGCAGTTGTGTAGAGTGGCATGAAAGACACTGTTGTCAATTAATTTTCAGCAGATGTAACTTTTGGAAAAAGAACAAGTTTTACACCTAATCTACAACTAACTTTAAAAAACTACAATTGATCCAAACAAGGTTTTTCGTTTTCCTTACTGGAGTTGAGCGTCTGCCTGGTCTTGGCACTGGTGCAGTAGGCCTCAATGACTTTTAGGATCTGGGCGTCTTCTTCCAGAGCAGCGGTGCCTGAAAAATAATAATACGTTATTGGCTCCCCATCAATCTAGAAGAGAACGCTCTGTTCGGATGGACGCTGAAAGACAGGGATTCAGTTAGCGATACGATTATTGTTGTGGTTGGTGAAGACCTGCGCTGCATCACACTGAGAAATAATATTTTGGTTACAGTATCAGCGCCCATCATCCACAAATATCCTGCAGATATAAAGAGGGAAGAAAACATACTCTTCCTCAAGGCAAACTCCTCCTCTGACTGTTTCCTCTCTGGTTTGCGCTTGGGAAGGAGTTTCTTGACACTCTTCGGACTTTTACTTAGATCCTGCACACAAACAGAGAACAACCATTACTCACTGAGCAGGAGAAATGGATAAGTCACCAAGGGGCTGAACTTCGGACTTTTACTTAGATCCTGCACACAAACAGAAGACAACCATTACTGACTTTACAGGAAAATGGATAAGTCATAAATAAAATACATTTTCTCAGCAAAAATCAAGGGGCTGATATAAATTAATTGTGTTGCAGATGAGAAATTTAGCACGTCCGCGTCAATAGTGCAGAGGTGCATGGTGCAATTCCGGTTTCGGCCTTCCTGTGTGGAGTTTGCGTGTTCTCCCCGTGCCTGTGTGGGTTTTCTCCGGGTGCTATTACTATTTTCCACCATTTAAAAAACAATCGCTGATTGTTAATTCTCATCATTCATGGACTTTCACCTCTTTGTAGCAGAGGGCTGCAGAGGGTCGCAGTGGGGGTGCGGGCCGCAGGCAACTTAAGCTCCAGGGTTTGGGTGTGTTGGGAGGTTCCAAGGGGCCCCACATCATGGTGCTGTGAGACGTCCCATGGGAGGAAGGGTGAGGGAGAGTGTGGTAGGTGGGGGCCACCGTCATGGCCCTCCCCTCCGCGTGCCGGGACGGTGTGACAGGATGGGATGGAAGCTAAGGAGACAAAGTGTTTCAAATGTATTCTAAATTGGATGAAAACAGACACGGAAAAGGGGTGTGTGATCCTGACCGTGTGGCAGGGAACAGTGAGAGGTTTGTGGCTCGGTGCTGTCGCTGCAGTGTGCTTGATCTGCCGTGTTAGATGTTCAACCCAGTCTTGCAAGTCCTGTTGGTTGGTGCACGACACCTGAAGACGGTCAAACATGGGGCCTGCCCAAAAACAAGATGTCGAAGACCTTATGAGAACACGCAACGAAATGCTGCACGTTGCATATGTCGAGGCGGTTTACCGCTGAGCTCAAAGGCATTTTTGTGAGCTTCACAGTCTTCGAGCTTGCTCACCGACATGCTGGCCAGAGGCAGTTTTCCCTGCGGATAGAAAACGCAGCATGAGAACTGAGACCAAAATAAATAAGAATCATGGGAGCACATTCCTCGACACTAACCTGGAATATGAAGCCGCTCATCCTGGGGCTGGCCGACAACATCAGGAGGACGTGGGGGAAAAGCATGAGGTAGCGCTCATTCTTTTCCTGAAGGATGATCAAGAAAAGGCAGAGAGGGAAATGTGCTTTCTTGATGTATATTGAGAACCAATTTAGTTGTAAATTTCTAGAAATAGTCTTATGTTCATACAGTAGCAGATATTAAACCAGAAATGCAAATATTTTCACTCACGAGTTTTTTGAGGGTGACGTCTAAGAAGGAAAAAGTGTATCGTTACCTCTGCCCCAGGACTGTGCACCAGGACCTGGCTCATGTACAGCACGGAGCCCAGGGTCTTGATGTCATCACCCTCCCACAGCCGAATGGATTCAGTCAGGATCTGCAGCTCCAGCTCCTTACGCTTGCGCACTTCTTGGCACTGCGCCTGACACAGCGGAAACGGGCGAACAAAATTCAAATGCTCACGCAAGACTGTGAAGCGAAAAGCTATTCGCGTGGTTTGCCTTACTGAAAGATGTTTAAAAGTAGCCATGCACTTCTGGATGTCACTTCTGTCAGGATGACTCTCCTGAAAGACATCAAATGTGTTGTGTCATAATGAGAAAAGACTTTAGATTACCCTTGTAAGAATGTAGACATTCAGGCACCTCCATGTGGCGCTCCAGTTCTTTGAGCAGGGTGGGGTACTTGTCAAGCCTCATGAAAGGTTTACTAAGGCCCGTGGTCAGGGTGAGGATCCCGGGGCTGACGGCACCTCGGCCCTCCATGAACTCTCCCAACGTCTCACTTCAGGACACAATGACAATTGGGAAAAAAAAAAAAGTGATCTCCAGGTTTTAAAGAGAAAGCGGCTTGAATGGAGCTGGTGCGTTCAAAGACGGACCTGTGTTGCGTGAGCACGTTGACCGCACAGGGGTGGTTGGCACAGTAACCCACATAAAGAGCCTTCATTTGAGGCATGAGGTTGAGAAAGAAGCCACCCACCCTTTGCTGACACTCTGGAAGCCTTAAAGAAATAACAACAAACGTTAACAAACTTACATAACATTGGGTGCCATCTTTACAAAACAATACAAAAATACTCCGTTTTGCGGAAAAAGTATTGCTTTCACAATGTTTAATATTGTGGCAGCACTGGCATAGACCAGAAGTGTGTTTCTTTGTGTAGTAATGTGGCCAAAAGATGAAAAAGGAAAGTGTGGTTCACCTGAACCTAGTTATTTTGAAGCACTTTTTTAAAATATATGTTTCAGATGATTCCAGCCAGAGTTGAAATTATTTTCACTTTGCGTGTATCATTGGACGACATGATCAAAAAAGGGAAAAGAAAAAAGTAAGATAAAAATGAAAATACAATGTCATGTTTGCCTTCATGTTTTTATTCTGCTCAAATGTTCCATTTAAAGTATATGATGGATTTTAGTGTTCAATTCACAGCACAATGCTATGCGGGTGAACAGAGGTGTCGAGTTGCATAACAAAGGCCTTATGGTGCTTTTTCAGTCATTTTTTTAACCTCAAATTTTTAAAAATAAATTTAAAAAACCCAACTTAACTGTGCACTATCGATTTAGTGTAAATTTGTTGCAGCTGTTGCAAAAAGTGCTGCATAAATAAATATGTACTGTTTTGTATCATCTTTAACTTTGTAGTACAGAAGATCAACACTAGAGGGCTCTTCATTTGTATTACGAAACAAGCTTTTGCCACTACTGCTGCTGCTGCTGCAGTGAGACTATGCTGGAGGAGTGGGAGTGGGGGATATACTTGGTGCATTCCTCCAGTGATTGGACGAGCATCTGTTGGAAGGTGCTGATCTCCTCCAGGTTTCCCAGGATAAGAGCTACATCAGAGCCGCTAAGCCTGGAGGCGGAGAGGGTTTGTGACTGTTTAGCTGTATTCGTTTTGCGCTGTGGCTCTGACTGTGCAATGCGGTCGTACCTTTCGAAGCTCTGAAGAGAGCGCAGGTAATTTGTCAGGAGGATCTGGAGGTCCTTGGAATATTCAGTCTCCGTTTCCAAAATGTTCTGCAACACCTATCATACAAGACGATAAACTGAGGTGAAAAAAAAAAACATCAATTCAGAAACTAAAGTTGAAACATGCTTACCAGGTTGTAGTACGTCTTGCTAATGGCAGATGTGTCAAAGCCTTTAGGCGGACTTTTAAGGGTACCGGATTTGGGTGACACTTGCTTGTCTATGGGAAGAGAAATAAATACAGTGATACCCCATCGGCATGAGCGATTAAAAAATTCAATTCAAGCCTCCAGACAAAACATCTTAACGTCTGTAAAAAGACAGTAATGGCACCCACCGGAGCCTTTGACTTCACGGACGTAGTTGCTAGGAAACCATCCCGTCTTGCCGTTGAGGGTCCCCTCCCACCAGCCCCCATCTTCCTGACGAGTCACCCCAATGATGTCACCCTTGTTAAAGGTGAGCTCATCCTCGTTGGTTTGCAGGAAGTTGAAACGCGCTTTCACCAGCAGCTGCTGCCCACTGTTCTCTGACATGTCCTGAAAAGAGTAACAGGAAAAAAAAAAAATTGAGAAGCACTGCTCTACAGTCATGACAAAGAATACCAAGAATATCCAATGACATGTTGACACTAAACTGTTCCACTCTCCAATTTAGACAAGGCTTTGGTGGCATTTTGTAGAATTTCAGAAAGAGAACTAAAACTGCAAATAGGTGAAATGATCAGCACACAGTTGGCGACAGCATCCGCAGATGTGACTCAATTCAGTTCAATAGTTGGACTTACCAGACTGCGAAACTGGTTCTGCAGCAGCTTGGAGGAGCGACCCAGTGAAGCCTGGGAGGCGAGAGACTCAAAGGACTTGATACGATGGGCGGAAGAGTGTCGGGCGCACACCGAATCACTGCCCACGCCGATATCTGGAGAGGAGAGGGCCAGAATAAAAATACCCCAGACCTGGTAGCTGCGGTCAGCGCCCACGCAACACGCTCATTGACTACTCGACTGTCTTCCAACACGAACACCCACTCATACAAAACTCTGACACACAGAGTTGCACTGACCTGCCGTCACTTTATTCAGAGCCACGAGACTACTCAGCACCTTTGAGAAGTTCAGACCGAGAAACAGGTCACTGGCCTCAAACGGCTGTGGACGAGACAAGAGACAGCGAGAGAAGATTGATAGCGTCACAAAACTTCAAACGTTCCCACTCACAAGACGCAGCGATCCATAATACTTGTGGTTGTCCTCTTTCACAGAACTGATGCGGGGCAGGGAAAAAAAAACAAAACAAACTCAGCAGACTTGAACATGTGCAGCAGCCACCAAGCCAACCCTTGTTACCACACTCCATATATTATTGTTAATTATGTGCTGACATATGAGCTGACAATTCGTGAAGAACCCCAGTACAGTGAAAAGGCCGATGATATTCTTAGTGTCAATTTTATTGCACCTTCAAAGTACTTAAAAAGTACAGTTCACTTACATCGGGATTATATTGATGGGCTTGATCAACATGTTAATTTTAGTTTAAAACAATAATGATAGAAACACCACTAAAAATGTTGGTTTCATAAATTCTTTCAGTAAATGCTTGATTTTCATGAACGGATGTTTGAATAGGAGACGCTTTTCTAAAGATTTATGGTGCTCATCGTCACACTACTTCGTTTGGTTTGTTGGACTTCAAGCTAAATATGATGCGAAATTTCCGCACTATAAAGCGCTTCGGAGTATAAGGCCCACCTTCCACGAATACCCTATTTTCAAACTGTTTTCATATATAGGGCGCACCGCATTATAAGGCGCATAGAAGAGAAGCAACAATTGTGGTTGTGGTTGTGTTATACATCCACTAGATGGAGCTATGCGAAAGGGAATACAATACAATACAGCTTTATTTATACAGCGCTTTCACAACCGCTGCAGCTGTAACAAAGCGCTTTACGGAACAATTAAAATACTACGTCCAAGAATTCAGAATATTGATCCATATATAAGGCGCATCGGATTATAAGGCGCACTGTCGGCTTTTGAGAAAATGGAATGTTTTTAGGTGCGCCTTATAGTGCGGAAAATACGGTCGTGCGGAAAATACGGTCATAAAAATTTAGCAATAAGTGTTTTGTTTTGTTTGCGGATAACCTATGATGTCAATAGCATGAGCATTATCAGCGGCAGCACTGCGAACAATCAGAACTTGTCGTGGAGACATGTTGACAGCGGCAAAATGAAGACGGATGCCATTAAACTTCAATGTTCATGTCAGTGTGACTCTCAGTATGAATGGCAGCGATTGTATCTCTGATGATGAGGAGCGGCTCTTCCTGCAGCGCACGGGTTATTTGTGCGTCAGTAATGCTGAAGATGAGGGACAGAGAATTGAATCTTTATTCATCTTCCGCTCTGATTGCTGATATGCCTCAAGGTGACGTGTGGATGTGCCATTGAGGTTTTTCAACTGTGTGATGAAACAAGTATACAGGATTTGTGTGCATGCTTTACAGACTGGAAGATTCGCAGAAAATGCCCCATTCAGTGTGTGCGCTTGAAAGCATATTTCAAAACGGGCCCTTTTTCAAAGGTTCACCAATGAAACAAGAGCGACATGATGATGGCAACACAATGCCTGTCTGACTCAGCAAATGTTGAATGTCACGGGACACTACAACGTAAGACCTAAAAAAATAAATAAATAAAATACCACTATGGAGGCAAAACATTCCGATAATAGCGGCGGCCAATTGTATGCATGATCTCGCTTTTGATTGAATTGTGAAGTTTGCAGGTTTTCTAACTCATGCTGGATCAAGTCTCAATTGAGGTTACAACAGTCTCCCCCTGCTACCCTTGAATGTCTGAAAGATGTACCAAAGACTCATTCATCTCTAAACAGTATACATATGAAAATAGATCCATATTTCTATCCAAACATTTGAAACGTCACTGCCCTTTTAATGCCAAATCAGAGGCGGCGTAGCAGGCAGCGTTTGTCTATGCGGCTGGGCGTCGTCACCTCAAGGCATGTCGAAGCCCATGCACACAAGACGCACTTCAAAAGGTGCCGCCATTTCTGGAAAGTATTCACTTCAGATCTCAACATGACCTCCTCAGTTTCCAGTGGAACTGCTACATTTGGTCTTTATCCACAAACTGGAAATCCCTTTGCATTGCCACATGCTCATGTAACAGTTTGGGTTTTTTTTGTCCAAATCACACAAGCAAATCCAAAGTGCATACATCAAACCATGTGAGATCACTCTATTCCCTTATTGGTATGATAACGTCAACAGGTTGACGGTTTAGTCTATGGACTAACGCAGTGCTCCTCCACCGTTTTCTGCCAAGTACCGGTTCATGGTATTTCAATCCATCTGTCCGGCCTGGTACCAAATGACCAGCGAAGCAGTCCTCTACTCAGTGCCTAGCAATAAGAGACACACTAAGCTAAATTAGCTGGAGAAGCTTCAACAAGTTTAACCAGATACGATGATTTTAGTGGAAGATGCTTTGCTCCCATAAATGAGTGATCGGGCAGAGAGTACCAAGGCTTTTAGCTTCTACAATCCGTGTTAATTTTAAAAGGAGCAAATTGTGAGTTGCACTTTGTGAAAGACATGAGACAGGCAGAACAGAAGTGTCATTTGTATAATGAATACACTACAGACGTGTAGTCTACAAACACTGACGAGTGCGTTCTAACTAGCGATTGTTGACAATACGGTGTCAGTATTCAACTTTTGGAGGACAGCACACTTTAGGATGAAATACTAAATCTGTCCGACAGATTTAAACCGCAGACCCCCACTGACCTCGAGCAATGAGCCGACACAAACAGACTTCCTTTTCCCCAACATATTCAGCAAGGATGCTCCTTCGCAGACATTTCAGCTGCGTGGGACTGCTGAAGGGTTCGTTTCATTCGCGCACGTTCTCTGGTCCCGAATCTCATTGGCTGGCGAACCGGACAAGACGAGCGGCACTGAGAAACACTGACTGGCATTGTCATAAGGAGCGTGCGTCAACGAAGGGATTGTAGACTAATATGGACAGTCTCCACGCCTCATCGCTGTAGAGCGTGCCAAATTTTGACCAAAATCCGCAAGGTCGACGAAATGTTCTGTACAGTAATTCTAAAGACTGTCAGTTGTTTGGAAGAAAATGTTTATATTTTTATTTTTTGTTTTTAAATGATTGGGCCTGAAAAAATGTTTCCCTTTTGGTTTCATTCAATACAGTATTGTATTGTATACGTAAGACGACTACTTCACGGATTTCACTTATTCGGGGGCGCAATCAGATTGCTCCAAAACAGATTGATTCATTTTCCTGAGCAAAAAATACATGAATCAAACTTGTTCGTGGAAAAAATGGGCCATCTCGATGTTGTAGGACCTTGAATGTTTTTCATTTGTTTTATATTTATGGAGTAAAACTGTTTTTCATACAAATACTCTTGTTGTGACATTGAGAGGTCACAAAAGGCGAGCAATGAACTCGCTTGCAGAAAACCTAAGAATACCTCATCAGGCAGCACAAGGTGTTCAGTTCCTGTTTTACGTTTGATTGTTTAAAATTTACGGCCAAGAGACTTCCACGCTAATGTTCATCGTCTTTATTACTGCGTTTACGTAGGTTAGTGATAGACTGCAGCGCGTTCCAATTTATGTACCTGTTTCATCATTCGTAGGAACAGAACTGTTGTAAACCGAAAAGGTTGTGTGCTTTCAGTGGGAAAAAAACGACAGACTTTGCTTCACGTTTTGAGTAAAAAGAAACACTGTTCACATTTCTGATATGAGTGTTTTGTTTTTTTTTTCACAAATTGATGATACCCCAATTGTGATTAGCTGCTTTGTAAGTGCTCTGATATTCTAGCAAGGCCATGTCTGAATGCTGTTTCGGAATCGAGAAACGCTGAGAAAACACATTAGCGTTATTTTTAGTAGCCGTTCCAAGCAAACGCAATTTACCATGAGCTTGAAGTAGTTGTGACAACAAAGCCACGCTTGAACAGATATATTTGCATTCATTAATAGTACAGCTTAGAGATTCTGTATATGTTAATCCAAATTTGATGCGTGGAGACAGGCAAAAGGGCGACTATTCCGTCAGTGACTGTCTTGAGAAGTTTGTTAAAATGTTACTAATGTGGTCGCCACACAGCTTCAAGGCAGCCGGGCGATGGGTGCTTGCTCCCCGGCTGCAACCTCCTCCCCCTGCCAGCACAGCGGCAAGCTTTGTTTCACAATCTCCACTTCAAGAGTTTTGTATTAGCATTTAAAACTAAACTTGGGGCGAATCTAGAACGTTTTGATAATGTTTTAAATATCACGTCCGCCGGACTCTTACCTCGACGCGGAAAGATGTGCAGCCCTTGACAAACTCCTTTATGTTGCTCAGACACTCGCCGTCGTTCTTTGGCTCCTGGTAGATCTGCAAGGGACGTGGAGAGCCAACATTTAGCGGCTCATTTCCAAATCTACGGCTCGGGCCTTACTTTCTTTCGCGTTCCAAATGATTTAATAACCTCCGAATAGGGTAAATATAAACAATAATAGTGGGCTCCACAACAACACTGCGGACCGAGCTCTGGAGCGTGTGACACCCCGGAAGGCTGTGCTCATATCGCACTGTGAGCTCCCTTAGCGAATTGAAAACGAAGAGGAGCAGGGTTGGATTCTCATCGGAAGTGACGTCATCAAAATGGATTCCCCTGATGTACATTGACAAGCACTTCGCGTTTATGAAAAGTGGAAATCAATATTCAAAGACCGATTTTTCTCAGAAAAGCGAAGGGAAATAAACACTTAAGAACGCCGAGGTCCAACAAGATCGAATTGAGACAGACTCGTCCCTATTAGCTTCAGTGGGATGCACTCACACGGATTTGAAACATTTGAAGAGATTTTTAAAAATGTGATTCAGTGGGTGCTTGAATTCTAACACGGTTCCATGTAACTCTATTCTCAACAGTCTATTATCGTTATTTTGGGAGCGTTTCTTTTGGCTGCGCTGCTTGAGTTTCTTGGATTTTTTTTCCCCCTGGTCAATCAGATTTTAGCCTCTGCTGTCATGTCAATCTAATCTGCTCAGGGTCAAGGGTGTTCTGGTGCCAAAATCAAGTGCACGACTAAAACGTAGCTAAATGATTTGCTTGTGCACACTGTGTGTTATTTCTTTGTATTAAAGTGTGTTTTCATTTATTTCTACAGTCCACTATATTTGTTATTAATTTCACACTGATAAAAATAAAAACCAGCAAAACATACCTAATTAATACGATTTGTATTCATTTCACTGTGTTCGGTAACATTTACATTTGCAAACAGATTCTTGAAACTATAGCGCTGCAGCTGTTGAACATATTGCACTTGTTATCCTATTGATTAGGCTAAAAAAAATTTATCAGTTAAATGCTGATTTTGTATTATTAAACAATAACGTGCATGTGAGGTGCCATTCTCACGTTTAACTGTAGTATCTGTGACTTTGAAAGTATATGGTTTTCAGAGGCAGGGTCTGTCCTGGTGAGTGACGTGGGCATCGGTGAATGAGAGTATAGAGTTGGCCAGCTGTTAGCTGCATAGTACATTAGCAAGTCAGCATGTTGAGAGATTCAGCATTAGTTGTGGCCATCAACAGTTTTTGTATGAATGTGCATTTTTCTTACAGTTTGTTTAATAAAGCGATTGAAAGTGCACCAATGACTGTGCCTATCCTGGAAAACTTGTGGGAGCATTAATATACATTCACTCTATCGAATGTAGGTCATACTAAGTGATCTCAAATATTAGACATTCTCAATCTTTTATGGATTTTTTTTCTTCCTGGCTCACCATCAACATACATACTTGTTTCTACACAGTGGTGTAAAGGACTGCAGTAACATTAGTCCATGTGGAAAAATTATCCATGGAAAGGATTGAACCTTTGTAATCAAATTCTTTGAGTCATACAATTATTGTTGCAGTCATGCTCAGACATCTGTGAACTCAGGTTCCACTCTACATACTCTATTCAGATTCTTTTTGTGACATTTGAGTTAGGCGCAATGAATATTTTTTTAATAACGTAAAATGCAATAAATTTCTTGGCTCAAAAAAGACGGCAAACAATAGACACAATAAAAAAAAATAGCGGACGTGGGCATTAAATCATGATGGATACCAATAAATTAGTCTGTCTTTCGTGGTTATTAAATGATATTTTCTCAACAGTTTGGTGTATCTTGGACGCTCTGAATACTTTTTACCAGGCTGATTTAGTTACCACCCTTGGGGTTCCTGTCGAAACGGGGCCCGGGCAGTTTGCTGACGGACACAAACACCACACTGTGTCTTTAAAAAAAAAGAAAGAGAGAGAGCGAGAAAGAGAGAGAGAGATACGGTACAAAACAAATATTCTTAGTGTTTTCCAATTCTGTAAAAACGTGTTGAATAAATATTACATTTCAATATTTTTGTCAATGAAGATTTGCATCATAGCCTGCAACAGCACATGTTTCAATTAGCAGGGCGGGATGTTGGTCAGGTGGCCTTTGTCAAAAAAAACAGCATTTCATGTACAATTCACTGGTACTGGCAAAGAACTGGCAAAGAACGGGAATGTGGAGGGCAGAGGGAAGCATTTTTAAACAGTACACGTGAGCTACGATCATAAACACGCTGCAAAAGTGTGTTCCATGCCTCGATCATCTTCGGTCCCGTTATGGCTGTTGCTCATGATGGCATGTGTGTGTAAGTGCGTGTGTATGCATGCGTGTGCGGTAACGGGTCGATTGCGGGAGGTTGGTTGATCGAAAAGTAGATCTTTGGTCCAAAAAAGTTTGGGCACCGCTTCTCTACAGGATGCACTGCTGGGGAAAAAACGTTTTATCATGAAGGCTCATTGTGTATTTGTAGCCAACTTAGTCATTTTGATCGTAGGCTAATATAGCTAATATAAATACATTCAGCATGTGTTGCCTTCATTATAAGGCTTATATAAGGCGTTTAACTTTTTGCGGCTCCAGACATATTTGTTTTTTGTTTTTGTTTTTTTGAGCCAATGTGGCTCTTTCAACATTTTGGGTTGCCGACCCCAGATAAAAATGAATTGATTTTTTTTTTTTTTTTTTTTATTGACAAGCTCGAATTCACTCGCTGTTCACATTTTAGAAGCTAGTTATTGTGATCATCTATTTCTTCCAAACTGCCAAGGTGTGTCATACAGTAATCCCTCATTTTACGAGGTTAATGGGGACCAGAAACCCCCCCCCACAAAAGGTGAAAACCATGAGGTAGGATTTGCCCCGAGGAATTTTTATGGATGTTTGTGTGGGTACCAGCATGTTTAAAATATGTAAACAGTATTTATAATTTACATGTTTGAGACAAAGATTACAATAGTAGACATATTTACTTGAATTTTTAATTATAAAACCATATACGGTAATTAACGATTATCAACTTTGCCTTCTGAGTGGTGAAGAGGCTTGTGCTGGTGACGATGTAGGCGGCACTCACTTGACTAGTACAGGCTTTAGGTTAAGATGTTAACCTTGTCTTCTTATTCCTTGAAATAGATTTAGTTTATTTTCTATCAATCAAACTATTTTATAACACTTTTCAGACATAGAAATGCAACTCAAAGTGCTGTACAATTCTTTAAAAGCATTTCTAACTTACAACATAAAAAATACACACACATGAACATACATACCACATATATACACACATACATACATACGTACAAACATACATACATATATACATAGATATACACAGATAAATTAAAATAGGCATATAAATATGTTTGAATGTAGAGAGAGAGCGAGAAAGAGAGAGAGAGAGAGAGAGAGAGGGGGGGGGGGGGGGTCCATCTGCGTTTGCCTAGCCAAGTCAATGGCGGCTTATAGCTACAGTACAGTATATGGTCCACATCAGCACATCATGTTCATCTAGTATAAAATGACAAACCGTAAAAGGTGCTGTCCGTGTAATCATTCGCATGCTATAAAAATGTATTTGTGTTATTATTTTCAAGCAAGTGCATGAGTGTTGTTTTCCACGCACAGCAATAATAATAACGTCGTGACCTACTAACGAAATCTCCTCATGGGCCAGTGGGCAGGGAGAGAAGCCAGACAACAAACCGCGTCTCTTCCACGGATGTGGGCAGCACACAGACACGCCGACCTTATGCGGAGGGAGGGAGAGGTTGGGTGCGAGGAGGGGCAAGGGAGGGGAGGCGTAGAACAATCGCGCTCTTACTTTCTCCGTGGATCCGGGGCTGAGGCGCTCCAGGAGCCTGCAAAGCACCACGCCATCCTTGAGGGAGCTGTGCAGGAAAGCCTCGGGGTCCGCGATGCTCTTCTTGGGCGACTCGAGCACGCCGAGTGTAATGAGCCATGTTACCGTTTGCTCCGCCGAATTCATGTCCACACTCGAGTCGATGAAAGCGGCCGTGGAGGGAGAAAGAGGGGCAGGGGCGGGCGGGCGTGTGTGTACCTCGACAGCTCCTGGCCCCGCTTCACGCTGTCATCCCGGAGCATCCACAGGAATGACGATGCACGCGGGGAGAGTAGGAGATAGATAGAGAGAGGAGGAGGGGGGGGGGTGGTCCGCCTTCTCCCCTTCTTCCGTGGTGTGTTTCCCCTCCCTCAATCTGTCAGACTCTCTGCTGATGCCGCCAGCCGCTCGATCGGGGGGGGGGGGTGGGGGGGGGGGGGGGGGGTTGAACGTTTTCACGTGCCACTTCCTGTCTGCGGGACAGAACATAAGGTACACCATGTGTTCCGATGCAAAAAAAAAAAAAAAAAAAAAAAACGAGAATAACGCTCAGTTTTGATTTGCAGAGGTGTTGCACTGCATCCAATTTAGAAGGGTTTCTTTCAAATAGGTTAGTTTTCAGACACGTTATTAGGTTACACCAGGTGTCACTAACGTCCTGCCTGTCGGCACAACGTCGCCCCCAAGGACCACTTAAGTAGCCCGCCGGCCTTTTTTTTTAAGAATAAGTCACCGTTTTTGTGTGTGTGGGTGTTGTTGCTGTTCTCAATCAAAAAACAGTGTGAAGTGACAATTAGGGTCACTTCAAGAGATCAACTGGGGTGCTGCATGAAATTATCCAATTGTACTTCATTTGTCCCCAAATTATTTGGTAATTACAAATCTGTGCAAGTCTAAGAAAATGCCAAAAGAAAGAAAACTCAATTGAAGACCAGAGTTTGCATGTGTGTTCTCCCGAAGCTTGTGCGTTCTTTTTCGGGTTGTGTGGTGCCGACGCAAATTCCAGATAGATGCATTTTAGGTTGCGTTATGAGTTTTAACACGTCTATAGGTGTGAATAGAAGTGTGAATGGTTATGACTTTGTGTGCTGCTCCTGGCTAGCGATCACTGTACTATGTGAACAGAAAAAGGCCTCGCTGGGCAACGCTTCATAATCCAGTTGCATTTAACATGTTCATTTTCTGTCGCTTAAATTGCAATTTACTGTCTTAATGGTGGTTGTTGTAACCTGTAATGTAACGACGAGTCATTTATGTGCAGTGGGCCAATGTTTAAGCCTTGACAGAGGTCTGCCCCTAAAGTGCTTTCTTCTGAAACACTGGCTTTGCGTGCCTCACTCTTTCATCCACAACCACAGGCAATGTGTGTTATCCGCTTGTAAGCTGGCCTCAATTCAAGGGTGGGAGTAGAAATCAGACTTTTAGGTCCATGTAATGAAATGCTACAATCCGTAATACAGGCGTCAAATTATAACGCTAGCAGTCGGATATAAACACTGAATCAGGAGGCTTTGACTTGGCCAGAGGTGATGTAAAAATGTCACATTAGACTCTGCAGTATGGTTATTGTTCATAGAAAGAGGCAGGCTTACTCCTAGGGACAATAATGTCATTAGGAAGGAGGACAACAATGATTATTTCATGGTCCTCAACCGGTAATCTCATTTTATTCTGTGTAACGCACTCATTCATCCATGGAGAGAAAAATTAGGAGGAAACATATCAAAGCCGCGAGTGGCTGTCCACTTTTCTCAAGAGTCATCTAGCTGTTGTAAACCATACTTCAGTATTAGGTCTCGTACTGATGACTTACTGACATCCACGCGACTAAAATCTCATTTGTTGCACAATTGTGCTTCTACCACAGTTACCGCCAAAAACGTCGGTATTTGAGCCGCCATTGTGTTTGACATCTACCGAGACGTACTATAAGCACATCTGGTAAGACCCCAATTCAGCAAGTAACAGTGGACCAAATAAGACATTTTTTCAATAGGTGGAACTGAGTGAAACTCTTTCACCATTTAAATTTTTCAGATTTTTTTTTAGCGGACATGGTTCCATGATGCACTTGGGAGTCCGGCATGATTTCCCCCTCCCCCACAATACAAGAAGTTGAGCGCTTTCATTCGCTTCAGCAGTTATCCGGTGCATTTCTAACAGTTAGTTTTCTTGCCAGTTAGCTATGCCAATACCCTGAAAATGCATCTTCCCTTCAAATAGTCTGTTGGCGTGACCACTTAAGAACACCTCATAACTGTCACAGAGAGAACGCAGAAGAGCAAGAGAAAAAAAAAGAACTGTGACTTCACAGGCAACGTGTAGACCGGGGCTGGTGTGGGACCCTTTAGAGTGCCTCGTTGTCGGCCGTGATTACATGCACGTCACGTAGAGAAGGCGGAAGAGTGAGCGGGAAAATGACTGACATGACGGCAAAAAAATAAAATAAAATCAACTCCCATTTTATTATTGATGCCATTTACTGTTTTTTATGCTGTTATTGTTTATGTCTCTTCTCAAATTTGTTTTGTCTGACTGTACCCAGCTGTGCATCCATTTTCTATAGCGCTTGTTCTCACTGAGGTCTCGGGTGACCTGCAGCCTCTTCCAGCTGACTTTAAGTGAGAGTCAGGGGACACCGTTCACTGTGCGCCAGTAACAAACCAGTCGACAAACGCTCACGTTCATTCAGACACAGTCCAGTTAAATCTTGGCCTACTGATGAAAAACACCTCATCAGAACAAAACTTTCTGACTCAAAAAGGAAAGTCATCTCTCTCTTTATCGACAGTGTTGAGGCCGCAGAAGCAGACCACGCAACCCACTAACAGGAAACAGATTCAGTCTCAAAGTGCATCTTTATTTCAAGCCTCTCTCTTCTTGCAAACTCCATCATTGATTATCATCACTTCAATCCACTGACGACTGTCAGAAGGGTATTAATAGCATTGCCCAAGAGAGTTGATCATGAAATACTCCATGTCCTTTCCTCTCCCGGTTATTGTTGCCCAGGTATGACTCACATCCACAATAGTTTTGTTGGCATCTGCCGTGACGGTGTGTGTGACGGTGAGTCAGCAACAGCAGGGGTGAAGCAACTCAATAGAATTCAGCCATCACTCACTCTATTATTCATTCACGCCTGCGTTTTGGAACGTTTCCCAGTATGTCTACTAACGGCATCTCACAGCTTCTTCATGTGTACATGAGAAATATTTCTGTATCCTTAGTAGGTAGGACCTACTTACATTGATCCTGTGGACGCGCTACATGGAGGCTTCACTTCAAGCCACAGGGTGGGGCTCTCTGCACACTACATCTGTCTCCAATGGAGCCTACCATGAGTGAGGTGGGGGGATGGGATTGTATAGGGAGGGGGACCCCCATTGTGCAGTGGCCTGTCCACAAAACTGAAGCCAGGTGTTATGTACTCCTCGGGTCAATGGTCGTCATGCATTTCCTGCAGTGTTTGTCCTCATTAGCGTTAAGCATACACCCTGAACTGGTCGCCAGTCAATTGCAGAAAACATATGGACAAAGAAAGCAGCATAGCAGATGACGATGATGATCAAAAGTAATCTGGTCAGAGACCTTACCTGTGACCATTTTCAAAGGCTGCGTTTGAATGCCATCACGATGATGATGTCATAACTACGCGTGTCCTATGACTGACATCAAATGATTTCAGCAACGTCCACATGATGTAATTTTGGATTTCCTTGCAGGGAAAATTTCCATTGTTTTGTTCATGAGAGGTGGACTGAGGAAAGTTCACCTAACCCGAGCAAGCTAATGCTATCAGACACCGGATCATTAGCTTAATAGTTTAATTGTTTGCTTCAGTCATTTTTGAACGTTTTAACAGGACAAAAAAAAAAAATCTACCAACAAGTAGAGTCTATTTTTCTTGATTCAACATTTGTAGATTACTATGACCTGGATGACTGAAAATCTGCCCCAGGGTCTTCGAGGGCCTCTTGCATGCATGCTTTAGTTGTCTCTCTCCTCCAACGCACCTGCTTCATATGATCAGGATCATTATCAGGCGTCTGAAGTTCTCAGATGATCATTTGAATCAATGAGGGAAACATCGAAAACATGTTGGAAAGTGGCCCACGAGGACCGGAGTTTGAGACCCCTGATCTACATGGACATACCGTGATTTCCAGACTGGCAGGTTTTGTTTTGTTGTTTTTACCATGCTTTAAACCCTGCGGTGATGCAGTTAATCAATTAAAAAAAAGATCTTAATTATCGATTATAACTTGTTATTGAGATTTTATGACTGGTTATGAGTACATTTAATGTAAAATAAGAAACAATGTTTTTAACCCAAGTTTGAAGACATATTTTGTTTTTGTATGCTGCCTGTTTACTTCACTCTGTAGATCTTTTTTTTTCAAAAATTAAGTAAGATTCATTCTATCTTTTTTTTTTGTGAAGACCAGTTTTTGCAGTGTTAGTGTTACTAACTTGTATGACCAATAGGGAACAACTTCAGGATCACCATGGATACCGTAGCTCTCTCCCTTCCGCTCTTCCTGTGAGTGGATGTTAAGGAAGAAAGGGTTGTCAGGAAGACTAACTCTTTGGGAGTTAGACCGCGGCTCCAAACAGGTGGGCGTCAAGGGATACTGTTGCACGCTTGAAGGTGCTGTCGCCATGCATATGTAACCATGGGCGCGTCCGCGGGCATCCGGGGGCGGCCCCCAGGCATGTTCTATGCCTCCATTCAGATGAAATTCCAACATTTCCGCTTCTTCCACTGGGAAATGCTGCTGTTTTGCTATTCATGTCACAGCTGTTAGGAAAGCAAGTCTCACCACATGACGAGATATCACCACGCTGGAGGAAATCCACTTGAATGTGATATATTATGCAAATGCTTCAACGAGTTGCAGAGTAAGTTTTCGAACCCTTAATGGTTCCTGAGTTTTAGTTTGGGAGCGGCCGATGTTATTCTGTTCAACTAGTGTTAATCCATGACTACAATGGACATTTTTCTGTTGGTATTAACTGTTTTTACATCTGGATTCTGGTCTATACACATGAAATATTATTTCCTCTCCAAGCAAAGAACCATGCAGCCGGAATGCATGAATCACGGAAGCAGGAATAATGGATGATACTGGCAAGTAGACAAGGCCAGCATGAAGGGATAGATGGTCAGACATATGTTCGCTATAATCCCGCCGCAAAGGATTATGTCGATGGAAAAAGACACCCGAATGAATTTATCCTCTCATTTGTAATGCTATGTTAATAATGCTACATTCACACAGGCTGAAAAGCCCAACTATTTTCAGTCAGGCATGTTTTTGTTCCAAAAACACTTTCCATAGAGACAGAGATTTCAAAGGATGAGCCCCAGAGGACTGGGTGAGTGATGCCTATA